AAACAAGTTCAAAATTTCCTTAATCTACCTTTTTTCTTGAAAAAAAATCTAACCATACCTTAATCTTCCTTGCCACAAGGTAAATTGAATTATTGAAATACTTCCTCCTAGGGTTGTACACAGTTTGGTCTGGACCGTAACCAAACCAGACCAAGCCGTATTTTAGCGGTTTGGTTTGGTTTACGGTTTAGAAAAATACGGTTTGGTTTCGATTTTTTAGGAAGTACGGTTTGCGGTTTGGTTTGGTTTTTCAAAAATTATAAACCAAACCAAACCGTAAACCAGTAAACCGCATTTTAATATTTATATAATTTCTAAATAAATTAAAAAAGTTATTGCTGCGTATATATTATTAAAAAAAACAAAAAAAAACATGAAAAATCATTAGAAGACTATACGGTCAGTATACTACTATACTTTATACTCATTCTCAAATAGTTATTATATATTATGTATTATTTTTATTATGTGTTATTGTGTTATCACTTAGCACTTGATTAGTTGGTTGCTATTTTTATTAAAACTTTGTAGTATAATTGAATTCCTTTGGGCTAATTATTTGAACTTTATTATAAATTTATTAATATTTGACAATTTTTAGGAAAAAAATGTCGTCTCATCATAAATCGCAAACCAAACCGCACCAAACCGCATTATTACCAGAATAAATGGGCAATAGTTAGGAGAGGTGCGCCAGCAGCGAGCAAAAGCAGGGTTATTAGATACCTCAGGAAAGCCCGGCCAGAACCACACGTGCAAGTTTCCCTGCATGTGGCTCATCCGCACCGACCATCCAATGGACCATGGACTAAACGGCCACTGCCTAAAAGGACTATGTCCAGGGGACCGCCCCCCCCCCCCCCCACAAGGTACATCTCGCGCCTATGGGCCGCTATAACTATCCTTCTCTATCTTTACTCACAGAGACGTTGGTCGACGTCACTTTGTCAGCCTCCGAAAACCTTTTCAACGGTTTGGTTTGGTTTGGTTTCAATACTAATATGGTTTGGTTTGGTTTGGAAAATTGACCAAACCGTATTTTGCGGTTTGGTTTGGTTTGGTTTAGACTCAAATCGCACCAAACCAGACCATGTTCACCCCTACTTCCTCCATTCTTTTATTATTGCACCACTTGCCTTTTTAGGAAGTTTCACAAATATTATTTGTGTTCACACTACAAATACCCAACATACCCTTGTTTTTTCACACTTACTTTTTTGTTTATCAATAAGTCACATGGACAATTTTGTATTTTTACCTTCCTCTTTCTTACTTTTTTCCACTGCCAAAATATTTGCACCAAATCCCTATGGTGCAATAATAAAAAACGGAGGAAGTATAAAATATAATAATTACATACCTATCCTTTTCGCATAAAAATATCAATTTATTAAGAAAAAAACTACGTACAAATGTACAATGCAAGCTATATAAATAAAGTCTATAAAAATGGCATTCATGTTTAAAAATTATTCACAAGATCATCTCATTAGTATTTGACAAGAATGTGGTTGTTTTTATATATAAATATTGACATTCTGTACCTCTTGTGTGACCAACCAAACAATAACATGATTTTGTTTCAACCAAAGTCAAAAGTTATAGGCGATGTGATTCTAGTTTGTCTACTAATTTACTAATTAAACAATACAAAAAAAATAAAATTGTACGGATTATTTTACTATATTATATAGATCTCTACCTTGCATATATTGATATATAGTTGCATGCCTTCACACTTTTACTCTTTCTTATTTTCTTTTTATTATTAATTTATTTTCTTTTTATTTTAATAATTTTGGTGGGGTCGAGTTGGGTATTGGTTTCAGAAAAGAGAACAATGGAAGATAATAGTCAATCAAATGATGAAGAAAGCAAAGATTGGGTAGCTCTTAAAATGTTATTAATGAGTCAAATTATTGCCAATGTCATGTGTTATGGGTAACATCATTAGTAACAGATTTTATTTAACGTTCCCATAATCATAAACCGCAGTCAAGCCAAAAGGGATGGATCTTATATAGTTCTTTTTTTTTTTGAAAGGAATCTTATATAGTTCTTATATTAATAAAATAAAATTAAATTAGGGTTAGTCACCTAATTTCCTTTTCTATAGTTTAATTAACTAGAATATATTCTATACTTTTGTCTAGTTAAAAATTAAAATATCTTGCTCATCTTCATGTTTATTGAATAAAGAATTAAAGGGGATAAATATTCCTTCATATCCAAATAATGATTTTTTTTTATAAACCAAATAATGGTTCTAATGTAGATGAACCTTATTGTAAAACTTTGCATATATGCATGCACTTGATGCTATCTATATTTAGTTAAAAACCTTTAGTAAGTCAAAATCTCACTTCGTAATTGTTTTCTTTAGCATGAAGCACCTGTATAATTTTTCTAGATCTAAAAATGTTATTTAAAAGCCAAATTTGAAGGTTATATCCAGGGGCGGACCTTTGTTGAGACGGGACGGGGTCCGGCCCCCCTTAATTTTTCTAAGCTATTGGTTTTAAGTAATATAATCTCTAATAATTACACTTAAAATGTTATGATATAGTGGTTAAGTATTGTTATTTTTGAGCAAAAGGTTGGAGGATCAAACCTTGGCCCCCCAAACTTTTTGGCCCAAAATCCGTCATTGGTTATATCATACACGAAATTGAATCAATTTTGAAAATTTCATAACGAACCGGTGTCAAAAACTCACAAGATCGCAGTGAACGTATCTTGGAGACATATAATGTTGTTTGAAAACTATTGGACCATCATCAGGTTACATGAATACTTGTGGTGTCTGAGTGAATGAGAGAAAGTGTATACGTAAATGATTTAATTGAGAGTTTCAAGAAAAAGTGGATGGTTCGAACCACATAAATTGCCTACCCGGATAAAGAGGTCTATAGGTAATACCAGTGGCGAATCCAGGATTTTCGAACTTATGAGTCACCATCAATAATTGATCACTTGTTTCAATCCAAAAATTATATAAAAAAAAATTATATTTCACTAAATTGATTTCAATCCAAAAATAGGATATAAAAATACATACTATAAAACTATTACATTAAACTAACTTTATGATTTTTAGGGTATTTTCATTTTTACCACCTTCAAATAATGACTTTGTCAAATTTACCACCTCAAAAAAAAAACATTTACTTTACCACCTCATAAAAAAATTAAAGATCAGTTTTACCACCTCATCTGAGCTCAGGTGACGGAAAACGCTTGTGGGGCCCAGTTAACTGTCACTTCCCTCCAATTTAATTCTTTTAAAATCGATTTCCCTCTGTCTCCTCCTTTTCTCACCTTCCACCTTCCATAATCAATGTCTCACCAAATTTCTCACTTCCTCATCAATTTTGGTCTCTCTTTCCTTTGATTTTTCTTGATTCTCACTGTAACTGCTTCTCTCTCCTTTGAATTTTCTCTTTCTCTCTGTAAAAACTGAAACCCTAGATCAATTTAGGTGGTTGAAATCGAGCTGGAACCACAAAATTGCAACACATCAGCTTCTCTTGTCATCTTCCACGGGGTGAGGGGACCAAAAGCTTGGTAATTTGCTGACAGAAATCGAGATTCCTGACTACAAGAGGTACTTTAAACCCTTTATTAGTACATTTCGTTGGATTTATGGTTGTCAATTGGGGTAAAGTATGCCTTTTTGGGGAATCTGTGAATTAAAGTATTATAAACCCTAATTATGAGAATCTTTGACTGAATTAGAGTGTGCATTTGTTAAATAATTAGTTAATTAGATGTACTTGGTTACTGTTAATTTAGTGCATAGTCAATGTGAATTGCTTTTACTTGCTGTAATTGGTGAATTGGTTTTTGTTGTTTACTGTAATTACTGAAATTGGTTATTGTTGTGTGTGCTTTTGTTGGTGTTGTTACAGAATGGACACAGTGAACTTAAAAATTACAGTAGGGGGTGCCTTTATACCTTCTTTAGCTGGTAAAAATAGGAGGGTGTTAACTTGGGATGGTGGGTGGGTTTATTGGATGAGAAAGGTGGAAAAAAATAAGATAGATGTACACTTTTTGAGGCAAGCAGCTATACATGGGTTTGTGTATGTGAATGTGAAGGTTCCTAGGGGGTTTAGTTGCTGGTATAAACAAAAGGGCAAGTCTTGGGTGAATGGTAAAAGGGAGCTTGTTGATGGTGAGGTGAATGGTTTCCTAGAGTCGGTGAACAAAGAGGGGGCATGTGAGATGTATGTTACCAGTCATGAGCCAATTGAAGGGACTAACAAAACACCCTTCAAATGTATATCTGGGAATGAGCTAACCCCTGCACAAAGGAAGGAACTGAAAAAGAGGTTTGGTGGGCCTAAAGTATACAAACCCAGCCCAGAACTTAGTAAGCCCACTGAAGAAGAGCCATTTAGGAGAAGCCCTAGGTTAAAAGGCATTGTTATACATGACAGAGAGGCTGAGGAGAGGCTTCCTAGGGCAGAGAAAGTGAATGCTAATACACATAAAGGGAAGGGTAAACTCACTGCTCCAGATAAGGGTAAGGCTAAGGTTGGGGATGAGACTGGAAATTTTGCTAATTTAGTGAGAAAAATAAAAGAAAGAGTGAGGAGCTTAAGGGATGACAGTGATGTGTTTAGTGATGAGGATGGTGATACAGAGTCTTCTGATTCTGAGTTGAGTGATTTTGAGTTAGAAGTTGATGAGGGAGAGGAGGACTTATACTCTGATGATGATGAACAGTGGTTGAAGAAAAATGTAGACCATATTAACAGTGAGGTGAAAGGCAGTTTGAGGGGAGTTACTGAAGGAGGGGATCAAAGTGATGATGAGGACATAGGGTTTGACATAGAAAGAAATCTATAGAAAATTGAAGTGAGGGTTGAAGAGGAGGCAACTTGTGATTCTGATGAGCTAAAGAGTGTGGAAGGTGATTCAGATGATGATCAGGGTAGTGTTACTTGGTTTAACCCTGAGACAGACTTTGAAAGGGCTATCAAATTTGTAGTTGGTCAAAGGTTCAGTGATGTGCAAACAATGAGAAAAGCTTTGAGACAACATGCAATTGAAAATAGGTATGAGTATTACCTTCTTCACAATGATTCAAAGAGGCTAACAGCATATTGCAAAAGGAAATGCAAGTGTGTGTATAACAAGAACAGTTGTAGGATAGTGAAGTGTACATGTAGTAAGGGTGTTAGGTGTAGGTTCAAGTTTTATGCAACAAGGCTTGTGAAATCAGAGGCTTGGCAAATTAAGACACTAAGGCTGAAGCATAGGTGTGTTAGGAGTAAAATGAACAACAAGGTGACAGCAGAGTTCCTTGCTGACAGGTACTTGGAGGAGTTCAGGGGCAACCCCAGATGGAAGATTAAACAGATTCAGGACAGGGCCTTGAATGACTTGGGGATCAAAATTACATACTCCAAGGCTTGGTTGGCTAGAAGCAGGGCAAAGCTTATAATATATGGCTCTTCATCAGAGCAATACTCAAAGGTTTGGGACTATGGGAAGGCACTGCTGAAATGGAACCCAGGGAGTGAGTGTAATGTGGTGGTGGATGATATTAATCAAATTGAAAGACCAATTTTTATGAGGATGTTTGTGTGCTTAGCTGCACTTAGGGATGGATTCATTTCTGGTTGCAGACCAGTAATTGGGGTGGATGGGTGCCATCTAAAAGGGGCATACCCTGGGCAGATCTTGGTTGCAGTTGGAAAAGATGGCAATAATTCCATCTTCCCAATTGCTTGGGCAACTGCAGAGATTGAGAACAAGGACAACTGGTGCTGGTTTCTGGAGAGCTTGCTCAAGGCACTTTGTGTGTATGACCAAGGAGATGGCTTGACTTTTATGTCTGACAGACAGAAAGTAAGTGGGTTGTGTTTGTGTTTAAATTACTTTGCTTTATTTGAATTTTCTGTACACTAACTTGTTAGTTTTGCCTTGTGTGTAGGGTCTCATAGAAGCATTTGCAGATGTGGCCCCCAAAGCTGAGCTCAGATTTTGTGTGAGGCATATTTGGTCAAATTTCAAACTGAAATTTCATGGTGCAACTTTCAAGGAATTGTTCTGGGCTGCTGCTAGGGCAAGCACTCTGGTAAGCTTCTATTTAGGTTCTTTTATGTCAGTTTTATGGTGAACTATAATGTATGCTAGGAACATTTAGTTTTGCACATATTTACATGTCTTTCTATTTTGTGAAAACTGTATGCCATGTGTCTATGTTGTGTTGAATGGTTGTCATGTGTGTGGTTGTATCAGTTTGAGTTTGAAGTTGCTATGGAAAGTATCAATTTTTTGGATGAAGAAGCATACCAGTGGTTGTCAAACATTGACCCCCAGCACTGGTCAAGGCATGCTTTCTCTACAAACTGCAAGTCTAACATGTTGTTAAACAACATGTGTGAGACATTTAATGCAGTGATTAGAGATGCCAGAGACAAGCCTATTCTAACTCAAATGGAATGGCTTAGAAGATATATGATGAAGAGGAGTAATGACAAATGGGAGGCAGTAAAGTCTTGGGAAGGTTTACTAACCCCATTTGTCAACAAAGTCTTTGATGGGTTGGAGAAGTATGCCATGACATGTGAGGTTACAGCTTCAAGGGATGAAATTTATGAGGTGAAATACAAGGATGATCAGTGCATTGTGGATATGCAAGAGAGAAAATGCACTTGTTATAGATGGGAGTTGACAGGAATACCTTGTGTCCATGCATTTGCTTGCATAATGGACAAAAGGGATGATCCTGAGTTGTATGTGCACCCACATTACTATAGGGTGACATACTTGGCTGCATATGAGAACCCAATACAGCCAATGCCTGGCCCTAAGAATTGGGAAAAGGTCAAGCTCAGACAGCCTTTGCCACCTATGCTGAAAGTGCAGCTAGGAAGATCTAAGGCAAATAAGAGAAAGCTTGAACCAGGGGAGGGCACTTCTGCAGCACCTGAGGGCAAGAAGCCAAAGGTGATGAAACAATGCAAGAACTGTGGTGGGTTTGGCCACTTTGCCAAAACATGCAAGGCTGAAGCAGCACCAGAACAGCCTAACCCACCTGCAACAAATCCAAAGGGTGGGAGGCCACAGATGCAGACTCCTTGGCTTAAGGAACAGAGAAAGAAAAGTGAAGAGAAAGCAGCAAGACAGGTATTTTGTGTATTTTGTGACTTGAGTGTATTTAGTGGCTTTGTTTCTGAGTCTTGTCATACTGTGATTGCAGGCTGCACTGAAGTTGCCACAATATAAGCCTCCAACAACAGCACAGGCTGGGTCAAGTAATGCTGCATCTGCAACTGCTGTGTCAAGCCAGCCTGCAACAAGAACAGAGCCTTTGCCAACTCAGCCTGTTACCAGGAGCAACAGGAGCCTGAGTCAGCCCACAAGAGTGCCAACAACTACTCCTCCCAAAGTCAAAATACAGACCAGGTCCAAGCTTCATGTAATGACAAGCAAGAAGGACAAGGATCTCAATCAACTGTGACCCTAGGTCTACTCATTAGTATTTTGTAATAGACAACCAAGTTTATTTGGTAGTTGAACAATGATAGTTGAACAATGATTTTGCACAAAGGTGCCTTAACTTTTGTCTCAGCCAATGTAAAACAATTTCAAACATTGTGTTGCAAGTACTAATACGAATTGTGATATGTTTCTACCAAAAAGTTCCATTTCTCATTGATTTTGTTAAAAGTAGTACAAGAAATGTCATCCCAACATCCACACATAATAATTCAACAAAACACAACATAAGTTGGGGATTTTTTTTGTTTCTAAGCATTCCTAAATGAACCTAAGATCTAAAATACATACCCAGTACCAAACCAAAACAACAAAACACAACAATAGCATGTACTGTGAGCATTTTCTTTGTTGTTGCATTGCTGCCATGCACTTCCTTGATCATCTTCTTCCTATCTGTGCTAAGAGCTTTGCATTTCATCTTCAAGCTGTCAATCTCATTGAGCAAGCACCTCCTTTGTCCACTAACATCATCAACTTCCCTCTTCATGTCATTCAGCTCTCCCTTCATTAGTTTCTTGTCCAGCAGCAAGTTGTTAATCACCTCTGTTTGCCAAGGTGTTCCATCTGGTTGATCCACCCACTCAAAAGCTTTACACCCCCTTGACTCAGTCACAGGATCATAGAATTTGCAGGTCCTAAACTTGCGTCCTGGGTTCTCCCTAGTCCAAGCAGTCAGCCTAGACATTGGAACTCCACATTGGCATTTTTTCTCCTTTGAGGGTGACATGCTAACTGAAGACATTCCCTTCTGAAATTCAGTAAGAACAAGAATGAAATTAATTGTATTTGAACACAATCACCATAATATAACCCTAATTTCAGTAGCCAATTCACATAACAAAAACCCCCAATCTAATTTAATCTTACATGAACCCTAAGTATTTTAATTCAAATTGGGGTTTAATTGACCTCACAAAACGCCCAATTTCAATTACTCTTAGCAAATGCAACATAATCACGCAACGAATTGCCAAAAAATTACAATAGAAATCACGAAAATTGCTAGAGAATTAACGACAATGGCTTACCTATTTGATGCTTGTTGTCGAGGAGTTCAATTGATTGTTTGATAATTAGAGGGTTTGGGATTGTTAAGGTTGCCCAAAAATACTGATTTGTGAAGAAAATCGCAAAAATTAATCTCCAATGTGCAAGAATTTGGTGTACAAATGAAGAACTAGGTTTAAATAAAAGGGAAATCGAGAGAAATTTGGGAAAAAATCAAAAACTAGCCGTTATGCTGGGCCCCACAAGCGTTTTCCGTCACCTGAGCTCAGATGAGGTGGTAAAACTGATGTTTAATTTTTTTATGAGGTGGTAAAGTAAATGTTTTTTTTTGGAGGTGGTAAATTCGACAAAGTCATTATTTGAAGGTGGTAAAAATGAAAAAACCCGATTTTTTACTTAAAAACAAGAATTATTTTTTTTTTTAAAAAAAGATAACTTAAGAGACCGGTTATTAAATATAAGAGACTGGTTATTAAATATAACAGGTCTCTTTAATGAAATATGAAAGTTGCGCAAAAAATTATTCTAATTCAATGGCCGACAAAAAGAGTCATGTTATCTAGATAACAGGTCTCTAATGATGTGGTGGCAATAGCAGCAACAAAGAGACCACCTATCTGATATTTTAATAGGAGGTCTATTTGATATTTAAAAACTAACAGTGGGCTAATCTCAAATAGAAGCAACAAAGAGACCCCCTATCTGTAATAGGCGGTCTCTTAGTGTTTTTTTTTTTTTTTTTTTTTTTTTTTTTTTTTTTTTTGTGTGTGTGTGTGTGTGCGCGCGCGCGTGCTGGTGAGTCACGTGACTCACTGTGCACCTTAACAGATCCGCCCCTGGGTAATACCTCTACTTGTTTTTTTTTTTAACTTTTTTAATTGTGTCCCTAAAAGTAAAAAAATTGTCTAAAACTAAAGACTATAAACCATGCTTTCGGACCAGTTTTGAAGGTTTTGAGACCTAGTATTGAAGTATTTCAAGATGATAGGGGAATGCATATTGAGGTCATATAATATTTTTTGGAGCCATATATGATCACTAATCGATTATATAAAAAAAAATCCTATGATGACTTTGAGTTGATTCAGGAGGTGTGTGTATTAAAACTAAACGCCTAAATTGATTATTTTGAGGCAAAATGGATGATTCAAACCACCCAAATAGTATATTGAGCTTTCATGGGGTCCATTGAAATCATCTCGATGTCCTTCTCCTTTTCTTCTCTTGGGGAATTAGTGAAGGAAGCTGTAGCGTTGCTGAAGCGGGTTTAGAGGTTCTCGACTACGCAAGATATTGGGCCTCGTGCGGCAGCTCATATTTTCACTAGGGTAGGCTTTTGCTATAGCTAAAGGAGTGGGGCCCAAATTGTATTTCGGCTCCCCACCAATTTCTTTTAAATTGATTGACTTTGTAGGTTTTTTGATATTATATAATAATAATAATAATTATAAATGAAAATTGTAACAATTAGATGCCTTATAGTTATAATCCGTGTTTTTAGCCTAATATTGGCCAAAAAAAAAAAAAAAACCAAAATTGAAGTGAATGTTTTTTTTTTTTTTTTTTTTTTGACTTTAAACAAGATAGAGGAAGAATCCATCCCAATCTACAAATAGTTTGTTCAGTTCTAGAATCTAAGTTTGCTTAAATTTTCCTAAATATGATCGACACAAGACATGAATTGATTAATAGGTGTGGAGCCTACTGTTGCAATATTTTAGACATATAACATCAAAACCAGGTTAAAATAATACATTCTTTTTACCTATATTTTCCTTAACCTTAATTTGACCTAACTATATTTTTCTTGAATAAAAAGCAAAAATAAGGTAAGGAATAACTACTTAACATAAAAAATAAAAAAAAATAAATAAATAAAAAAGTCTAAAGTCACTCATATAAGTCATAACACATTTGTTTATTTATTTTAAATAGTAAAAGAGAATTTGTAACTTTTTTTTTCCTTAAAATGAATCCTGACCTCAACAACATGTAAATGATGTTCTCTAAAAAAAATAAAATAAATAATGTAATACAATTTAGGTAAAAATTATAATAGGGTTACCGAATTTATTTTGTTAAGAGTTACCCGAGTTATTTACTCAGACGTCATTCAAGTTACTCGGTCAGGAGTTATTTGAGGGGTTCGGACAAGAGTTACTCGATGGGTACTCGATCAGGGGTTACTCGAGTTACTCGGTTCGGGGTTACTCGAGGGGTTATTCGGTCATGAGTTACTCGAGTTACTTAGTTTGGAATTACTCAAGTTACTCAGTTAGGGATTACTCGAGCTACTCGGTTATGAGTTATTTAAGGAGTTCGGTCAGGGTTTACTTAAATAAATCGATCAGGGATTACTTGAGGGTTCGATCAGGGATTACTTAGGGTACGCTCACCTATTTTTAAAGATCATGTCAACTCACAAGAGCGTATCAAATACTAGTATTAAAAAAATGAAGGGAGTAATGGCAAAGAAAACGAAGCCTAATCAATGCTAAGGTTGCCCGCCCCTAACAAAAAAACCAATGAACGCCCGTCTGGAACAAGAAGTGACAGTGAGCGTAGGACAAAGGGAAAACACCTGGTCCGTGAAATTAGTGAATACAGTAACTCTGTAATCTTGTATGCTTCTTTCATTCTTTCAACTTTCACCTTCTTTCTTCTTCCCTTTTCCCTCCTTTCTTTACCATAAAGTTACACTACATTTCATTACATTACCTGTTTTGGTCCTTTGCAATCAATGTGTCTCTTTCCTTTTATTTCATTTCATTACCAACAAAAAACAAATTAAATTAAACCGCCCTTTTATGTTACTATTGCCCCAATTTCTCCTTTGATTTTGCTTTCTTCAAAAGTTCCACTTTCAGCTTTCCTTTTTTCAAACACACATATGTGCACATTTTCACTTTCAGCTCTACTTTAATGGGGTTTTTTCAAAATTAGTTTTTTTTTTTTTTCCTTTCATAATTTGGAAAATTTCTTTCATGGGGTTCTCCAAAAATGAGAATTTCATCTGGGTTTTTGATTTTTTTGCATTTGGATTAAGTTTGCTGTTCTGAGTATTCAGTTTCATAGCCACATTGTGTATTAAAATGAAATTTTTTCATTGAATGTTTTGCAACTTTTCACTGAATTTTTCCATTTGTTATTTGTTCTTACATGGGTTCCTCCAAAAAATGAAAATTTCCATCTGGGTTTTTGATAATTTTGTATTAGATTTTGTTTGATTTTCTGGGTGTTTCATTTCATACCCACATTGTACTTTCTAATTCTGGAAAGTTAACTGAATTTTGAGAGCAAAAGCACAGAAAGAGAGAAAAAATGTGCTCATTTCAAAGAGAAAACACAAAATTTGAGAAAATTCCAAGATTTTTTTCCTCAATTTTGCTTATTGTTGGGTTTCTAACAATAGTAAGGTCTGAACTCCCTGATCAAACTACAATGTTTGCACTAAATGAAGAAATTGGGGTACAAGGTTGGGGTGTTAATAGTTCAGATTATTGCAATTGGAGAGGTATTGTTTGTAGTTCAAATCAAACTGTTGAAGTTCTTGATCTTTCTAGCCGTTGGCTTAGAGGTAATGTCACTCTAATCTCTGACCTCAAAGCATTGAAATGGTTAGACCTGTCAAATAACTATTTTTCTGGGCCAATTCCTACTGTTTTTGGTAGTTTAGCTGAGCTTGAGTTTCTTGATTTGTCTACTAATAAATTTGTGGGTTCAATTCCTATTGAGTTTGGAAAACTTCAGAATCTTAAAGCATTGAACCTTTCTTACAATATTCTTGTTGGTGGGATACCTGATGAACTTGCAGCATTAGTAGAATTGCAGGATTTTCAGGTATCTGGTAACAAGTTGAATGGTTCAATTCCGAAATGGGTTGGAAATTTAACTAATCTTAGAGTTTTTGCTGCTTATGAGAACGATTTGGGTGGTGAAATTCCTGACAGTTTGGGTTCGGTGTCTGAACTCGAGTTGTTAAACCTTCACTCGAATTCGCTTGATGGGTCTATACCAGAGGGGCTGTTTGCTAAGGGGAAGTTGGAGTTTTTAGTGCTTACTCAGAACAGGTTGACAGGAACAATTCCTGAATTGATTGGGAGCTGTGATAACCTTTCGAGCATTCGAGTTGGGAACAATAATCTTATAGGCAGTATTCCAAAATCTGTTGGGAATTTAACTAGCCTTACATATTTTGAGGCTAACAACAATAATCTTTCAGGGGAGATTGTTGTGGAATTTGCTCGTTGCTCGAACCTCACTCTCTTGAACTTGGCCTCGAATGGGTTTACTGGCATCATTCCTCCTGAACTAGGGCAGCTCAGTAATCTGCAGGAATTGATAGTTTCAGAAAATAGCCTGTTTGGAGATATACCGGAGTCCATTCTTCGTAACAGAAATCTTAACAAGCTCGATCTTAGCAACAACAAATTCAATGGCACCATACCTGCTGACTTATGCAACACCTCTAGATTGCAATTCTTGCTGTTAAGTCAAAATTCTATGAGAGGAGAAATACCACATGAGATTGGGAATTGTGTTAAATTACTGGATTTGCAGCTGGCCACTAATTATCTAACTGGCACAATTCCTCCTGATATTGGTCGCCTGAAAAATTTGCAGATATCGCTGAATTTGAGCTTCAATCATCTCCATGGACCTCTACCACCGGAGTTAGGGAAGCTCGACAAGTTGGTTTCATTAGATGTGTCCAACAATCGACTGTCTGGATCAATACCTTCAGCACTCAAAGGCATGCTAAGTTTGATAGAAGTTAATTTCTCGAACAATTTGTTCACTGGCCCTATACCTGCTTTTGTACCATTTCAGAAAAGCTTAAATTCTAGCTTCTCAGGAAATAAGGCTCTATGTGGTCAGCCATTGAGTTTATCTTGTGACAATGGAGGTGATCAGGATAACTATACTCACAAGATATCTTACAGGATCGTATTAGCTGTTATTGGTTCTGGTTTGGCAGTCTTCATTTCTGTCGCTGTGGTGGTTCTGCTGTTCATGATGAGAGAGAAACAAGAAAATTCGGCCAAAGACATAGGCATTGTGGATGATAGTGCTACTAGCAAACCACTGATAACTGCAGGCAATATCTTTGTTGAAAATTTCAGGCAAGCTATAGATTTTGATGCTGTTGTTAAGGCAACTTTCAAGGACACAAACAAGCTTAGCAGCGGGACTTTTAGCACAGTTTACAAGGCGACCATGCCCTCAGGGATCATTCTCTTGGTAAGAAGTCTTAAATCGGTGGACAAGACCATAATTCACCACCAGAACAAGATGATAAGGGAGCTTGAAAGGTTGGGAAGACTAAACCATGATCATCTGATGAGACCCCTCGGTTTTGTAATTTATGAGGATGTTGCCCTTTTGCTGCATGAATACATGAGCAATGGAACCTTGTTCCAACTTCTTCATGAGAATACAAAGAAACCTGAGTATGAACCCGACTGGCTTACTAGGCTCTCCATTGCTATTGGAATAGCTGAAGGGTTGGCATTTCTTCACAGTGTTGCTGTTATTCACCTTGATATCTCTTCTGGTAATATACTTTTAGATGCAAACATGAGTCCTCGAGTTGCTGAGATCGAGATTTCAAAGCTTCTTGATCCATCCAGAGGAACTGCAAGTATCAGTGCAGTTGCCGGCTCATTTGGTTATATTCCCCCAGGTCTGTTCTGACATTCAAAATTTATTTTCTATCTTTAATCCGTGTTGTCAGTGTATTAATAATATTATGAGCATCTTTAATGCTAACTTGCTGAAGAAACTCTTGCTTTGGTGACCAGAATATGCATACACCATGCAAGTTACTGCACCAGGAAATGTGTACAGCTATGGTGTTATCTTGCTTGAAATTCTTACAACACATCTACCAGTTGAGGAGGCATTTGGCGAGGGAGCAGATTTGGTGAAGTGGGTACAAAGTGCTCCGATGAGGGGGGAAACTCCGGAGCAGATACTCGATGCAAGGCTTAGCACAGTTTCATTTGCTTGGAGAAAAGAAATGCTTGCAGCTTTGAAGGTTGCATTGCAGTGCACAGATACCACGCCCGCCAAAAGACCTAAGATGAAAAAAGTTATTGAAATGCTTCAAGAGGTTAAGGAGAAATAGATTTGGTCTATGCAAATGCAATCAAGCAAAGATTGATTATGAGATGTGATTTTAAAGCATTAGCTTGAATTATCACATAATATCACTAGTTTTTGGCAGGAATGAGTTTTATTTTGCCATTCTGTATAATCCACTTCATAATTGTATGATTAAATTCCCAAAAAGAAGTTTGTTGTAGTGAGGCCTTGATTTAGATTTTACAATCTTCTAGCATTGGGTCTAGATCGAAATCAACGAGGTGGGACGTATGCAGCTCCTTACATTGAACTGCATACATACTGTCCTTGAGAAACCTTAGATTTGAGACAGTTCTGTATTCCAGTATAATGCAACCTCAGACTGCATCCTGGCAACGATATCGCAATATTTTGGCTAAGAGTACATCCAGAGACCAAAATTTGTTACTTTTAAATGTACTAGTGGTATTATGTCCATTTCCATGGACTGAATGTCAATGTTCTTCAACTTCTTAATAAATATGGCCGATATCAAAATGGTTTACTAAAGATCAATTGGTAACAACCTCTCTATTGTCGTACGGGTAAGTCACATAAATCCATCCCTCTTACTCTGTAGTAGTCTGTAGTATTCACTGAATCACTGATCCTCGATTAATAGTTAACCACATACAAGCAAACCAAAGACTGCACTATATTATTCTTACATACAAGATACAACAATCTTATCAGTAACTCATTGCAAACCTACACATGAAGATAAGAAACCATTAAAGAGATTAATTGATACAACAGCAAAGACACTATATCTAGGAATCTTTGGGTTTGACGACGAAATTCTGGCGACTGATGGGGTTCATGACCACCGGAGGGCCAGCCGTGCGAGGCCATTTCTGAAACTTCTTGTCAGTTTCTTCCCACCACTCTTTGTTAGAAACAGTCATTGGAGTTGTGCCTGGTTCACTATGCAGTACAATTAGTATTTCGCAAATTGTAAAAAGAAAGAGAATACTGAGCCAAGATCATTAGAGTTGAGTAAAGATTGTTCAACTTGCCTCCGAAAATCTTCTTGTCAGCTGCAAGATAAAAAAACGCATATGAAACACCAAACGATCCTAAGAGTGATGCGACTATATACTTGGCAGACATATTCAAGCTGCAAAACAGAAATTAATAGGTTCATTACACATAATAATCATGAGGCACATTCTAAAGGATAATGATGATTATATCATCATTATCATTATTAGTTACTTCATATTGTTTAGTACATGTAAAACCCTTGATTTACTCCTTAATTTTATAGTCAAAGTATATACCTTGTAATTAACTAACGACCTAACGTACCTAGTCACATATTCTCTTTTCTCATAACTCTATCATGGTTACACTATCAAAACCTTTGTTGATGCCGACAAATGATGGTGACCATATCAAACTTTCTTCTCGGAAAGCTTCAAACCAAAATCACACTTTTTGCTCTTTGGCAACCCGTATTTCATATACCAAAAGATGCCATTATTAATATTATTTTTTTCTCCAAACCCCTTGCACAGAGAAACAAACCTTTTTCGATATCCCGATCCCGTAGTCTACCTACCATGTGTTACCATATACGAAATTCTCTCCAAAACCATTATGGAAAAACATAACATTCTGTTCTAAACCACCATCACCACCATTATAATTTTCTATCTCACCTTCAATGGTGGTGAAGGAACCTCTATATTTTTTTCCCTCCCATTTGTTGCAAGCATATGCTAGCAAATTTCTTTATTTAATTTTTTTTTAATATTTACAATCAATGGTTCATGTGTTTAAAAACCGTGAAAAACACCCATTAAACAACTTCTTATAATCTCTCTCTATATATATACTATCCTTTTACTTCTTCACGCAACTCCTCCATCCAAAAAAAAAAGCTTCTTTAATACACTTCCTTTTCTTTTTCTAAAAAACCTTCTAATGCTCCACTCACCACTTCAATTCCTACATTGAACAAGATTTGAGATGTTATATCCAAAATCGACAACTCGTTCCGAATGTCGTCTTGCCGAGTATAAAGGATAAAGATGATTATATCATCATTATCATTATTAGTTATTGTTTAGTATATGTAAATCCCTTGATTTACTCCTTAATTTTGATAGTCAAATTATATCCCTTGTAATTAGATAAGGTACCTAGTCACATATTGTATCTAGTCATAGTTTGGTAGGTTCAATGTACTATATTTACTCGTGTATATTCATCAATATAATTAAGCTTTCCAACATTCTCTTTTCTCATAACTCTATTCCAATTAGAAAAATAACACAAATTTGTTTTACACAATTTATATTGATTGAAAAGGAAAGTCATTATACTCTCATCCACAAGTAAATTCTACCCACATTCCATCATCCAACATAGAAAATACTTTCTTGTTACCTCTGCTTTATATAGTGGGTTTGTTTTCATACGTTTATTTCCAGTCCAGCCAGTCTATGAGAACATACCCTAAAACTCTCACTATGTGCTTCTAAACAATAACTTGACTACATCAGAACGACGTCTACTATGTGCTTCTAAACAATAACTTGACTTCTAAACAATAACAGTATCTTATATGAGTTACATCTCCGATGGTAGTAACTAGGAACTTGCTTGCAAAATATTAAAAATGACTTGACCATTGAAGTTAAAATAGAACATTAGCCAAGATGCCATAGTCTCTATACCACGAAAACATATGATATAAGTTTTATTGAAAAATTTTTAGTGGTCGATTAAAATATGATTATTATAATGTTAATGATTATGCAGTTCATGATTGACCACTCCAATCTAGTAAGGTTCTGAAACTACATAATCATGATTAGCCACTTAACTAGAGTAGTTAATTATGATTAATTGGAGTGGTTAATCTTAAAGACAATCCCAAAAATCAAACTTCATACATGATTAGTTGCTAACTTTTTCCTACAATTTCATTCCAAATACTAAATGGTGATCTAATTAAAAGGAACAAAAACAAATAGAAATTGAGCTAAATTATAGAAAAGATAGTTGAATGATAAATTGCAGCAATAGTAAAAACATAAAAAATACGTACCCAGAAATGAAAGACCGGAGAAAGAAGCCTAGAACCTTTGATAGTAATTGAAATCCTAGCTTTTAATAAACTCTGTAAGCTGAATGAAATTGAAAAATCCCAAATATCAAAGTTGTTGCTTTTAATTTTGTGCATGATGTACAGTAAAGCGGTCCCACAAATATAATCCACAACCACAAAAGTGTAAATTTAACAAGCAGCAGACCACACATGTCACGCACCTGGGTCGATTTCATTTGACACTTTTAAATTAGATGTCTATTTTCCCTGATCTCTCGAATACTATGAGAAGAGTATATTTACAAATTTTTTGTATGTGGCTGGCTATATGGTGATATGGTGTGATATGAGTTATTTGTAGAGTGTTACTTGTAATTTGGTGTTACTTATAGGGTGAACTGGTTTTGGTCAGAGTGTTACTGATTTTAGTCAGGGGGTTACTTGTAGGTGTTATTTGTATTCTATGGTTAGTTGTATGGTCTTATTGGTTACGTTCAGGTGTTACTGATTTGGTCTGGGGGTTTGGTCTGGGGTTACTTATAGGGGTTACTCAAAATACAAGTAACATCTACAAGTAACTCCAAAATACAAGTAACACCTACAAGTAACCTTTGACAAAACCAGTTACACTATACATGTAACCCGTGCCGTACCATGTGGCCTACTACACTGAAAAACCTCTGTTATAAATTTATTTTAGAGATAAATTTGGATAAAATAATAAATTTATAATTAGTGATTGCCCCGGATGATTTTGTTTTTTTAAGTTAAATTGTAGTACAGAGTAATTTTTATTGCATAATATGGATTAATAAAAATTAGACATTGTAATGTACTTCGTAATAAATAATTACTTGATATTTAAGAATCATAGCCTTTATTTCCAAAAGAAAAAAAAGAATGATAGCCTAAAACTCTTAAAAGTTTAGGAAAATAAATGGTTGCATTAATTCTATTCATTCCTTCCCTTTCTATAATAATACTTGGAAATAATACTACTCCCTTCGTTCATTTATATGATGATTGTTAGGTCTGTTCCCATTTACTTAATTTCAGTTCATTTCGGTTCAGTTCAGCTCCAATCAGTTCAGTTCAGCTCCAATCATCAGTTCAGTTCAGCTCCAATTATCAGTTCAGTTCAGTTTAGCTCTTAATTTCTCTCTCTCATAAAATATTCATTTCAACTCAGTTTAGTTCAGCTCCAGTCAGTTTAGTTCAGTTCAACTCTAATCAGTTCAGCTCATTTCAATTCAATTCAGTTCAGTTCAGCTCAATTCAGTAAATGTGAACATGCCCTTAGCGATAAATTTACTAACATTTAAATCTTTATCTTATTTTATTTATTATTGAGTATATTAGCAATTTTGGCAGCTTTATAGTATTAGAATAGCAAATGAGTATTGCTTTGTAGTAGAGGGATTAATATATTGTATACATACACGGGGCGTTTGGCAATAGGGATAGGAATGGTGAGAATAAGAAGATAGGATAAGGATAAGGAATTACTAGGTGGGATAAGGATAAAATTATGATATCCATTGTTTGTAATGAGTTGGGAATTAAATTGGGATAAGTAGCAAATTTACTTAACTATCCTTACTAATTTGTCTCCTCTTCCTTCCCTTTCATTAAGGGCAAATTTGTCTTTCACCTTTTAATTTTTATCCCCAAACCTTATACTTGCCCCCTTGTTACAGAAATAAAGGGATAAGCCCCAAATTAGTCCCCATCCCTTGTTTGTTTGAGGGATTATAAATCCTTATCCCACCAATAATCCCCACAAACAAACATGCTAACATGGTATATAATATTTATACGCGTATTTAATTTTTATAAGATAGATTTTCACCTTTTAAAACAAAACAAAATTCTATTCATAATTTAGCAAGTTTTTTTTAGCAACAAATTAAATTGCAAATTGTGATATTTTTAACTTCAATATCTATGAACTTTGAAATATTTATTTAAGGTGTAATCTGTCGAATTTCTACATTCTAATTTCCAATACATTTTATTTTCAACCAAAGAAGCATTCAATAAAAATTGGATATAAATAGAATATAATATGACCCGTTATTGATTGGTTAAAAGAATAGCACACCTAATTTCTATTAGATACTAAATTTCACATTCCATAAAAAATAAAAAATAAATAAAAAAATAAAAAGCCAATGGACCATACATCCAAAATTTCACAAGACCCTATGTTTAAGCACCATCATTATTATTTTTAACAAAAAAACTAACACAAAACCACCTATATATACATAATTCCCCAAAACTTTTTTTTTTTCATATATTTCATTTCCCCACTCTCCTAGGTTTCAAACTCACCCCAAAACAATGGCTATTTCAAATCTTTCCTTAGCCATTGTTTTGGTAACTGGGCTAACCATGGCTCATATATGTTTGGCCACATCCTTATTTGATTGGAAACTTCAATATCTTGCACCAACCAATGCAGCTCGTCTTGCAGCATTGCAACCCCCTTTAGTTTGGAACGAAACTCTTGCAACCTTTGCTAGATCTTATGCTAAAGAAAGGGCCGTAGATTGCAAATTGCAACACTCAAATAATCCAATATATGGTGAGAACATTGCAATGAGTCCTGGTGAATTAAGCCCAAGTGAAGCCGTGGATTTGTGGGCCGGTGAAAAGCCTAATTATGATTATGGTTCTAATAATTGCAAAGAAATGTGTGGGCATTACACACAAATTGTTTGGAAAGATACACAAAGTGTTGGATGCGCCAAAGAAAGGTGTCAAAATGGAGGCACTTTTATTACTTGCAATTATTATCCACCTGGAAATGTTATAGGAGAAAGACCTTTTTAAACATTTGTTGGTAGGAATATTCTATGTGTTAGGGCCATTTTTTTTGTATAATTCTTCAAATTGGTTAAACATTTTTGTATACATGAATATAAGTGATACGTGTAATGTATTGACACAACATTTCATATTCAGCCTTGCTTTTGAGGCGAAAATATGCAACAACTTAACTTATTTTTTGTTACAATGTTTCGCCATTGTCGGTATAGTCTAATATTGCATAGAACCTTTGATGGTTTAAAAAAATTATTATTGCACTATTTCAACCTTTTGAAGATTAGAAAAAATTGAATAAGTCATTTCATCTAATACCTCCGTTTTTCTCTAAAAAAAAAAAATCTAATACCTAATTTTTTTTTTGAAATAAAATCTAATACCTAATTATGTTCAATAAAATAAAACTTTCCTATTTTAGTAAATTTTTGTGTAAAATTATTTAACTACCCTTATTTTAAAAGATTACAATTAAATCTTAAAAAATATATATATATATATATAACAATTAAAAATAATAAAAAAAAAATGAAAAAAGACTACAATATATGTGGGAAAGGTGCGCACATTACTGATGATGTTGATATATACTAATCACAAATATTTAAAAAAAGCGGGTTTACACTATTTTATTGTGTGGCAAGAAAGAAGAGGAAGAATTTCATTCCCTAAATAATTTCACACGTGACTTTTCCCCAAAATTACTTCTCTCTCCTCATTCTCTTTTATGAACTTTGCTCTAATCAAGGCCATTGCTGAAAGCTTTCTCTCTCTTCAATTTGCTTTTATTTCTCTCTTTAATGCAAATGATTCCATTGCAAGACCCAAACACCTGAACTCCCTGAATTGAGAGTGGGAGCTGGACCTCTAAGAAAGAGATCTTGTCATGGTCGAATTCTGCAAAATAAAGAGATTGATAACAGAAGAGGAGATGACGATCGAAGTTGAAAATTAAGGGTTGATTGAGATGAAGTTGGATGAAATTGGGTGTTTTGATTAAGGAATTCTAGAATTTATAGACGCATTTGAAGTGTACAACTGATTTAATAGGTAATTGTGAGTGAATCTCTGTGATTATCTCAGTCGGAAGTGTCGCCATTGTTGCCGCTCAAGTTCCAGAAGTACAGTCACGCAGACACGCAGTGTTGGAGGCTGCCTAATGGGCGGTGCTCGAACAAGTTTGAATGGGCTTGTTTGAAAATGGCGGTGGTTCAATATTTGTGGGTGAGTTGGGTTTGTTCATAAAAATGGAGGTTCTAATTTTGCTGGGTTTCTTTGATTTTGATTTTGATACTTTTTTTTTTTTTAAGAATTTTGATTTTGATACTCTGTTTTGCATTTGTAGCTTAATTACTTTTGTAAAAAAAAAGGGTCACTTTTGTGATAAAAAGGGTCACTTTTGTAAAATAATGATCATTTTTGTGAAAAAAGAAGTTATTTTTGTGAAAAAAATGGTCACTTTTGTAGAAAAAAAAGGTCACTTTTGTGAAAAAAAGGTCACTTTTGTAAAATAATGATCAGTTTTGTGAAAAAAGAAGTTATTTTTGTGAAAAAGGGTCACTTTTGTAGAAAAAAAAGGTCACTTTTGTGAAAAAAAGGGTCACTTTTGTAAACATATGAGTCACTTTGTAAAAAATAAAGGGTCACTTTTGTAAGAAAAAAGTATCACTTTTAGCAAAATGTTCGATGTACAATAAAATTATTGTAAAGCGGGGGCATGCAAAAGGAATTGTATACTAATTCAGTCGCTCCTCCTATCTGAAGAGACAAAACAAGGTAGTCGAGTGAATAAAACAAAAAACAAAATGAGGGTCATAATTTGGTATTTGTATAGTGTCTAAAAATTGAAAAAAAGATGATATGGAACAACATTTTAAGACGCCCAAAAAATACGAGAATTATATTTAGGGACGGAAGAAGTATTATCTTGTCGTATATGATCTTATTGGTTAACCTTTATTTTATCGTATCTTTATTAACTTTTACTATGTAGTCTAAATTTTTTTTAAAACTTATCAACTAAAATATACAAGTACTTCTGAAGTAAGTTTATCCCTAGTTTTAAGATGAGTCTTTAGACAAGTCTTGAGCAAGATTTTAGCAATAATCTCTATCAAGACTACACATAGTCTTGAGATGAGTTTTGAATTTTAAAACCCATCTTGAGACTATACAAATGGACAAAAATAATTATATTGTCCAATAGTGAGTTGCCAACTCACAATATTAAAATAATTAATAAATATATAAATAAATTAATGTTATAAATATTAATTGGATAAGTAAATCTGGAGTGGGTCTTGAAATAATGTGTGAAATTGGAGAAAGTCTTGTATGAGTCTGAATAATAAAAAAAAAAGTAATTAAAAGTTAGTGGAAATCTGATGTAGCAAAGTCTGAAGTATAAGTCTCGATTTTGGGATAAACTTACACCAAGCCTTTCAACTATAGACAAAGTCTGGAGAACACAGCCTAATTTTAAAGATGAAGTTAATGATTAGTCAAGTATTTTTGATGGAAATCTTGCTTATCATTTGCAGCATTGAAGGTGGTTTAAAATCATAGGAGCACTTGAAAAATAATCATGCATGTGTAACATTTGCATAAATATGAAGTTTCTCAATCCTTTTACATATATTTGAAAAATCTTAAAAATTAAAATTTTGCATGTAAAAAAAAATATTATATATTGGATAGTTACTAAACATATGTTAACAGTTTCAAAAAATAAAAATAAAAATGTTAACAGAATTATATAACAAACTACATTTTTTTTTTTAAAAAAAATTTGCAGTTCAAAAAAAAAAAAATATATATATATATATATATAAAGTGGAAATAAAGGTTAACAAAATAATAGTGTAACAAACTAGATAAATATACAGTTTTTTTAAAAAAAAATTATAATTATACAAAAAGATAAGCTTGGATTGCCACGTGTATAAGGGATTGAGCTACTAATCCGAGTTTAATTGCCAATTGTTCTGTTATAAGAATGAAATTTATAGTCATTATCAAATCACATTGCATAACAAAATTTAATTTCCAATTGTTAGTAATCTACCATACATATCACACAACACACAAGCTCAATTAACTTAATTTCCAATTGTTACTCTATACATATATATGTCACACAAGCTCAACCAACTTAATTACCAATGGTTTGGTTACTATATATATCACACGGTGTAGGGTATTAGGGTTACGAGTTACAACCTCTCATCCAGGGAAAACAATAAGTAAAACAAATTTGTTTGCATAAAAATTGCTTTTGGCGAAATCTTCCTCCTAAAGAAAAAATGAGTACAACAAATAAACGTGATCAGTTTCCAGGGAAAATAACCCCATACGTTGTAACTTGTTGGTTACTAGCAGCTTGTGGAGGCCTCATGTTTGGTTATGATATTGGCATTTCAGGTAAACCTAGTAAAATTTTATACTTCGTAGATTGTTACTTTATTCGAGTTATTTCTAGTGAAATCATGGATACAAATGAATAAATGTATGACCTTTATTGAGTTTAATACGAGCATTTGAGTAATTGTTACTAATATGTAGACTTTGTCATATTGGGTGGTAAATTTTGTATAAGATAGGGTAAGATTAAGATTAGTAATTGATCCATTTTGGATCACTTGAATGTTACCTATTACGGAGTATCATGTTATTTTTACATGTTATATTTCTAATTTTGAGTGAAAAAATTGTGTAATTCTTGGTTGAGTTTTCAGATAGGTAGACTTATGCTACGTATATTTTAATTAGTTATTGATTGTTAAAAAGAAATCAAATTTTTTGATCATTAGTAACACACTATTTAATCTTGTATTTAACAGTAGTTAAGTGTAAATTGATTATTACGGAGTAATTTGTATATAAATGCAGGTGGAGTGACAGGAATGGATGATTTCTTGAAAGAATTCTTCCCAAAAGTGTACCAAAGAAAGCAACATGCTCATGAAAACAACTACTGTAAATTTGATAATCAGTATCTTCAGTTATTCACATCATCTTTGTATTTATCAGCACTTGTTTCAAGTTTTCTGGCATCAAAAGTTTGCTCACTTAAAGGTAGAAAGCCTACCATTTTGATTTCTGCTGTGTTTTTCTTGGTGGGTTCTGCATTTAGTGCACTATCTCAGCGTCTTTGGATGGTCATCATTGGCCGGGTTTTCATGGGCGTTGGTGTCGGTTTTGGTAATGAGGTGAGTTTTACTACATTTGATGAATATACTGTCGATGTCATCTAGCTTAGTTGGTAAAGTATTATGCAGTATTGAGCCTTATTCTGTACATGACAATATCCAGTTTATGAGAATTTGGTAATGAGTTGAGGTTAATTGGGTTTGATAAATATATATTGTTATCTTGTCGATGTCAGCTAGTTTAGTTGGTAAGGTATTGAGACAAATTCGATACATGATAATATGACATGCATTAAATCCAATTTATGAAAATTTGGTAATGAGCTGAGGTTAATTACATTTAGTGAATATAATGTCGATGTCAGCTAGTTTAGTTAGTAAAGTATTGAGCCTTACATGACAATATGGCATGCATTAAATCCAATTTATAAAAATTTGGTAATGAGGTGAGGCTAATTACACTTGTGAATATGTTTTGTGTCTTGTTGATGTAAGCTAGCTTAGTTGGTCAAATATTTAGCCATATTCCGTACATGACAATATGACATGTATTAAATCTAGTTTATATCAATGTCCTTTGTGACTCTGGATGTCCATAATCTAATATTGAGTACGATTTTGGTAATTGTGCAGGCAGTGCCGTTGTTTTTATCCGAAATAGCACCAATGCAACACAGAGGAGCAGTAAACATTCTCTTCCAACTTCTAGTCACAGTTGGTATACTTATTGCTAACCTTGTTAACTTTGCAACCTTAAGATTACACCCTATAGGATGGAGAATATCCCTTGGATTAGCAGTAATTCCCGCTATTCTGCTGCTAATTGGAGGGATCATCATCACTGAAACTCCTACGAGCTTAATCGAGAGAGACCGGGTTGATGAAGGCCGGAAAGTGCTAAGGAAAATAAGGGGGGTCGACGAAGTTGAGGCCGAGCTTGAACAGATAAGGGAGGCATGTGATCAGGCTAAGTTAGTGAAGCACCCTTACAAGGAGTTAAGGAAGAAGCAGAGTGTACCGCCTCTTGTTATTGGGATTCTGATGCAAGTTTTTCAACAAATGACTGGGATTAATGCAGTTATGTTTTATGCTCCTATTTTGTTTCAAACTGTTGGGTTTAAGAGTAATGGATCACTTCTTTCTGCTGTGATTATTGGCCTTGTTAATGTGTTTAGTACCTTGGTTTCGGTTTATGGAGTCGACAAGTTTGGAAGAAGGATATTGCTACTTCAAGCTTGTGTTCAAATGTTTGTTAGTCAGGTACTTTCATTATTCACTGCACTTTTATTCAGTTCCTTCGACTAGTTATAAATTACTTGTTTCACAACTTTTTCCTAACAGCTACTATAACAACTACTTTTGCCGAACATAGCCAAAGTTAAGCCTAATTTGCGTGCATCACTTATTGTTATGCTTTCTTATTTATTTGATTATAACTTGTTTTTTACATGTCTTAAACTGGTTTTCTGTTGAAGAGAACAGGGCCTTGGTACATTCGATACTAACAAAATCAATTGGTCGTGTTTGGATGCAGACTGCAATCGGAATAATACTGATACTGAAGTTAACAGACACCAATACATTGCCAAAGGGAGCAGCAGTTCTAGTAGTAATACTAACATGCTTGTTTGTGATGTCCTTTGCTTGGTCATGGGGGCCTCTAGGGTGGCTTATACCAAGTGAAACCTTCCCTATTGAAACCAGAACAGCAGGGTTCGCGTTTGCTGTGAGTTCCAACATGTTGTTCACCTTCCTAATTGCTCAAGCCTTTTTATCAATGCTTTGTCACATGAGAGCTTACATCTTCCTCTTCTTCTCCGGGTGGATTGTTGTCATGGGCTTCTTCGTCGTGTTCCTATTGCCTGAGACTAAAGGTGTCCCAATCGATGCTGTTGCTGATCGAGTTTGGAAGAAGCATCCTGTGTGGAAGAGATTCATGGATGAAGATCCTAAGCAAGACAATGAAGCTTAAAATAGTTTGATTCCTTATGGGAGTTATGTACAAATTTTTCACATTGCAGCTAAAAATACATCATTTTTTTTTCTTGGAATTGAAAGACTGCTAAAATTTTGTACTTAAAGTGCCTTTCTTTGTGCTATGCTGAGCCTATCTCTAACAAGGTATAGTAAGATGCTTTAGGAATATATTTAAGATTTGAAAATTCTAGCCTTCTCTTACTGATTTCAACTTTTCAATTGCATCAATCAGATTGTTTACTTGTACTATGTTGTCTTAAAAAATAATAATAAACATAAGTAGAGGTGGCAAATGGGTCGTTCGGATTTGATATGATTTGAACCATATCTATACATATAATCAACAATGAGTCATTGATTCATACATGTAATCTTCAAAAATATACATTTTTAATTAGCCAAATCAATCAACATTATTTTCGAGTTGGAACTGATCAAAATTCTGTTTTAGACCACTCTCACTCATGGTCAAAAAAATAAAATGTCATTCTCTCTCTACCCACTTTCTCACTCCTCTTTTCCACTTTTTTCATGGGCGTTTTTTTTATACAAGTCCTCACACACTCATGGGCTAAAATAAACCCACAACAAAAGTAAAATTTTTAATAATAACAAATTAAGTAGAAAAATGTGATTTTTCGAAGTGCACAAAAATATAACAAAATGGGTGTCTACTTATAGATAAAAATAAATTATGAACGTTGATAATTTTTATTTTTGTTTTTAAATACATTAAATTGGTCAAAATAGCTATTTTTAGATTTAATTAGTGGGCTACACAAGTTACTGTAGCATTACAAAAATGCCATGACCTTGGGCATTTCTGATTTTCCTCATGGGCATTTATTTTTTTGCCCATGAGTAAAATACATGTTTTTGGTTTTTTACCTTGAATTTCTCCTCATGGGCATATTTTTGACCATGAGTGAGAGTGCTCTAAGTTCGTGCAAGTTAGAAAAGAAAGAAACATGCCTGCTCTACCAAATATACTGCCAATGAGTCTCTTAAATCTGTGACAGTGGGGGATTTAGGAAATGGAAATCTAACAAGTCCTGTGTATTGGTCATACATTGCATTTTATGGGGTTAACAAGGAAACTAATCCTCTAAATTTGATTAGAAAAAACCGAGTAAAAAGACTAGTAAGACTGTAAGAGTACATTGTAAATTGCACAACATGAAGGGGTGTGCCCTTTTTATTTTTCACGAGCTGTATGGCTTGTACCACACTACTAGATACACTAAACAACCACACTCGTTTGCTCATTTGGTTGCCGCGCAATCAGTTGTACAACAGAAATTGCTTGGGGGTTTACAACACGAAATCATCTTGCTTGTACACAAAGATCAAAATACATGCTTAGAGTGAAAAAACAACAAAAATAAAATCACCAATGGCTTTTTCATCCATGCTCAGCAAATTTACAGTAAGTTCTATTCATAATATACATACAATAAAAATTGATGTCAACGCCAATAAAATGATTTTTAGAAAATGTTTTCTTATACAATGCGGAAACTTTCAGCAGATACAGATGTGACTGTAAAGCTGTACTTGAAATCTACTCTAACCAAAAAAATTCCAGAAGATACAACCTGTTTGCCATATCCCATTGGAACAAAATTGGATATAACCCAAAACAAAATTTATAAAAAAAAATTAATTAAAGAATACAATGAATTTTTGGAATCTAGGACTGACTATTCAAGCTGCTTCAGGAGTAGCTGATAGAATTTTTAGCTACTTCGTGCACAGAACGCCAAGTCGTCAATACCAATTCCAGAAACTATATATATACTGCTCCCTTAGAACATTTCGACCGCCTCTAGTTTATTGTTGATCAACAACCAGCAGCTTTCAAGAAGTTGTCATAAGGGCTTGATGTGGGAAGCTTATAGTGCTGCGGTTGTAAATTGTATTCAGCAGCACATAGCATGGGTACTGGACTCACAGCTGGTAATACGTTGATTGCAGGAGCCATTAAGTGATCATCTTCAAAAGGATTTCCCGTCTGCAACATTTTTTTAACTCAGACTAAGAAAAAAAGGATACCAAAAAAAACACTTCTACTGACTCATATTGCTAAATTTAACACCAAAAACAGCCCTAATCCCGCTCTGAGATGACAGTTGTTCTGAACAGCCAAATAATTTAAGTGTTAAAAGATGGATTATTCCTCCTTCACTTCTTGTTCACCGGTTCCTTTTTGGGGTGTCTCAAATTGTTTGTGTTCGTGGGTCATTTATGCTATATCAAAAAATTCTTTATATGCAAACATCAAACAATGCAACAATTGACATCTCAAGACTAGATGAATCTTAATACCTGTGAAGGAGATGTAGTCCTGTTTGATTCGAAATCAGCATGTTGGACACAGAAGTTGATTAAGCTTTCTTGTCGTTGGACTGTCATCAAATGGGACATCTTCTGCTGCTTACCCATCATAAGAGCTTCACAGTGGCTGGCCATTTCCTTGTAAGGCAAATCAGGGGCGGTTGAGACAGAAAATCTTCCAACTTGGTGAGCTGAGTCCAGGACCTGTAGGAAAAGGAGACATCCCCCTTGTTTATAAAATATATAATGACATTGCATAATCACACAAGAATAGAGCTAAATATAGAATAATAGGTGAAGAACCCAAAGAGAACAAACGACATCAAATTGAAATTGATCTTAAGCTTCTGAATTTTCATTAATTGCAAATCATTAGGCTCCAAAAAACTAATGCGTCAGGGAGAGACAGATGAAAGCCAAAACAATGTTGTTTTTCTTTGTATAAAGTTATTGATAAATAATATTTCTTCCCCCCAACCTGAAATGACTTGGCTAGCACGACCATGGGTGAGGATAATCACCCTTGTTCACCCTGCTAGTGAAACTTGAGTGACCCTTTTACACTTAATGACACAACAAGAAACTACAAACATGAACACAACATAAATCCCCCAAAACAAAAAAAATTGTGAAAACCGATCTAAACATGTGAAGCAAAGATTTCAATAGCCTCCAAGTGCAAGCCCAAGGAATGATCCAAATACTCACCACATCATTCACAACAGTAAGTTATACAAGTGGTTACTAATATGCACAGAAATGATACAAAGAGATTTCAGCTGCAAAATGTTGTAATAACCAAAATCCATGCCTTAATCTATGTCAATCTATATCTTTTGAAAAGCTTTGTAACAGTGATCTAGAAAAAACGTTTTAGTAGAAAGAGAAAGTAACATACTGATTCCAGAAGTTGGTTGACACTCAAGAGACTGCCATTCTCTAAGGTCAATAATAACTCTTGCTTAGGCTTCTTATCAAGCAAAGAATCATCATCAATTGTAAAGAGTGGAATAATCTGAACAATCAAAACCAATAATAAATTAGTTCTAAGGTTAATAGCAAAAGCTGTATCTGTGTTTAGCAAATAATTAAAATCCAACTGTGCAGATTTATTACTTCATCGTGGCAAACACTCTGTCGAGGATCCACTTCGTATATCTTGGACGGGTTATCAAACATCTGGGCCCCAAGAGGACACACATCATCTGGCAAAAATTCACTAAGCAATTGCTCCCTTACAGTGCATATTTCAGACTGAATAAAGGAGAAACAAGTTACAAGTATGTTGCAAAAAATAGCAAAATAGTCTCAATGGCATGCAAAGTTCAAGATTCTTTATATGTTATCTTTTATCTTGACAACTAACTTACGTCTTTAATCTTTTCAAGACTTCTAATGATCTCAGCAGCAAAGGATTCCCTGGTTTGATCCTCTGTAATTATAATTTCAGATAGAAATCTTGAAGCAGAAGTTTCATCCTCTTTGCACCCAAATGCTATAGTGGCATTCTTATTAACAGCCTGCAATTTGCTATCTCCAACCAAAGACAAAAATGGATCAACCTGAAAAGGATAAAAAGCACATCAAACACTTCCATATAAAGGCAAAGAAATGAGTAAATGAGAGCTAAGACAACATCATTCTACTACTATGACATACCATTTTTTTGTTTAGTGTTGCTTTGGCACAAGAGACGAGAGACTGGATATCATAAGCTTTTGCTGAAAAAATTATCATTACTGTGGCCAAGGTGAAGAGTGATCGACGACGCGACGGTGGCAGAGGCCCTATATCACAAATGTAAAATATCAGGTGTCTATAAAATCCCTTCCATATTATTTCCTCCACTGACAACTTGACAAGTTGCATTATAAAATAATCAGCAAGAGTATAGTAACTCCCATTTGCACATATGTTGTTCTCCCCCCACCCTCTACCCCCCCTTCCCGCCTCTCTCTTTAATTTTACGTCCCTCTTTCACCAGCTCAATAGTTGCAGAAAAGTAGTGACTCAGAAAGGGAAGCAGTAAAACAAGAAGTTTTTTAATTAAACATCTATGCCAAATCCTAAGCTGTATCAGCCAAATAAAAACTGATATTGAATTCTCAGAAGAATATAATATTGAAAATTTATACCTCCTTCTGCAAGAGAAATGCCTCTCAAGGAAAATGAAAGCTGAAAACTTCGAACAAGTGCCTCCTGGCTAGAACTCTACAACTCAAACAAGGTTAAACAGCAGCTTCAGAACAAAAGCAATATAGTAAAGAGCTTTTTAAACTAGCAACATGAAAGTATTTGGTATTACTGAGAACAGAAGCAATGTGCTTGACAGTTTGTCAATCAAATCAACATGTAATAAGATTTAAGGAAAGTTTAAACAAATTGATAGAAGAAATAAATACTCCTATACAAAGATTCTCTTCTATTAAAAATCTTGTACTTGCAATTATGGGCAAGGAAAAAGTGTATTGATTAAAGAGAACTATAAATTAGCAAATCACCTTGGCACGAGAAAACAGCAAAACCAGGCTGTATGTATGTGCAATTGCCTCAAAGTTTTCTGGTGTATTTTCAGGAGAGATCGATTGCGCCCAAATTGATGACAAAAGGAGGATGATTTGTCTACTACTCAGCCTGAGCGAACTTCCTCCCTATATTAGTAAAATAAAACAATTATCATATATAAATACAAAAAAATTAGCTAAATTTCATATATACTTATTCTGCCCTTTTGAAAACTGTATTTAAGAGAACTATCTTGCAAGCAGCTACACAAGTTCCTTGGGTATAATTCAATACTTTAGTACAGAAAAGCATGAGAAAAGTGGAAAGATTTCAAAGACAGAACCTACCACTTCCTTGTTTAAGCTGTTCGGAGAACCCTCCTCTATGGGTACATGCACTAGGTTCTTAATACTAGATGCTCGACTGTAGGATGACTTCAGTCTATTGAACATCCCGACATTTATGTTTCCCCCATCAAACGGAATGTTCTCTTTGCTTCCTGATCTTTCCTTGCGTAATTTCTCAAACAGGGCAGCTGAGGATGAAAACACCGAGACAGTTCTAGAAAGTGACCTCGGAACATGAGCACCTTTCCCGGACATAGGCGCAGCTGAATATTGACGAGGAGCCACTGAAGATGGCACAAGAACGACAGAAAATATACGATGAGCCATAATCCTAGTTTCATGATCTCGGTGTACCATTGCTGGAAGCAATTGGTGAAATAGAGCCTCTGGAAATGCCTACAGAAATGAGAAAAGTATTGAAATTGGAATTTGGAGATTGAAGGTGGACAAAATAAGCTACATAGTAAAAAAAAACAACGAACTAAATCAACAGCATGAAAACCAGTAAATTCTCTTGCCTTGTTCTGATATGATACATTTGGTAAGGAAGCTACAATTTGTGCAGTCCGGAACACAGCTGCAATTGTGGTCCTGGCTATAACAGTGATACTAGAAATATTTTCTAGCATGCCAGTCATTATATCAAGAATAGGACCAGCATCTCCAACCTGTTTACAAAATTTAAGACCTCAAATTCCTCAGAAAAGAAACAAATACTGATGTTCAGTAGAAAAACCGTTAAAATTCAAAAAATAAGGGAATGATACCTTGTGGGCTAGCTGCGCGAGACACTCATCCACTAACTCTTTGAACCTTCTATTAAATTTGATAACCTCAGTACCAAGGTTGGAATCATCAACTGAGCTGTGAATACTTCTGCGCAAATGTCTCATAACATCACTTACCGCACCAAGCAAAGAAACAGAAGGCTCAACCTCAGCTTGCTCAGTCAGGGTGGTGGTCACCTCCACAATGTCCAGCTGCATCTCAAGCTGTTTGAGTACATTTTTATGATCCAAATGCTTCACCAGTATTGACAATAAAAAGTGTGAACTATGACCTGGGAAAATGGTAACATTAAGGAGGTTGTAATTAAACCATCACCTCAAGGGCTCAAGGTGATTAAAAAAAGGAAGAAAAATATTTCAACTATAATTAAGATCCAAGAATACCATTTACCTAAGGTTTCCATAACTGCCTGCATATCTGTCAAAACAGGACAAGCAACCCCATGTATCAGAGACCACAAATTCCCATTGTCAAAATACCGGAACAAAGATTCCAAAACACGTCTTGTGGTGGTGGCTTCCTTGCCTAGCTTAGCCATGTTATGCAGGCAAACCCTGGACCAAAAACCAGGGTTCTTGGCAACCTCCCTGCAGAAGGATTAAGATAGCATGTAAATGACAGTTACCACCACAAGAAAGACTAGAAAATCAGGGGAATTTGTGCACAATAATTACTCTGCCACATTTAATTCGCCCTTAGAATTTATGATTCCCCCCCAAGTAGGAATCCTTGACATATCAAGTGAAGCAATGACATGACCCTCGTCATTCTGCACTTCTTGCACCCATCTACCGTTAGATCCCTGCTTGTCAGTATCGTCAGCTGTATTCTGCTGAGGAGTGGCATAGTTTTCCAAAACTACTGATACAACCTGTTTAGAAAGAAAGGATATGTTTTACAAAATTTATAGCTAATACAACCATCCATATTGCTGGTAATGCATGTCGGGAAAATGGAGGGTCTACCTAAAGAAGCCAGGCACTCCCACATGACGTATCACATGTTAAAAAAGGGTAAAATTAAAAGGAAGTGGTAATGGCCAAAGGGGGAGATAAAGGAGAGAGAAGCAAAATGCCCTCAAAAAAGTTGATAGTTTGACAGGTAATAGAACTAACAGGTTAAATTGAACTGCTTTAGGAAGACACTCTCAAAGTTAGGACTATTTCTAATTAATCAATAGTAGGGATTGAATATGTCAGTTATTCCTATTTTAAACAGCTGAACAAAGTAATTGTGTAATTAATATTGCAGTCAAATACTGGTGATAGTGGTAATATGCAACCATACACAGGAGCAGACAAGGAAGTTTTAAGACAGTAAAAAAAGCACTAATCAAACAATTTCATAAATGACTGAAAGAGTTCAAACAACATCTAATCAAGGCAAAGGTATCCATTCATTCAATTTGCACCATCTTGTGTATCCACTAACATAGGAAATCCCAGCCTTCAAGCTTAAAGCAAAGTACAGGTTCCTTTTCTACCTTCAGTTTCACAAAGGCATTTACTACCAGAAGCTATGGACATGTCCAAAATATACACTAGAAATCATGAGAGATGAATGCAATTAGGCAACGAGAAAAATCACTGAGCATAGAAATATACATTACATATATATCTCTTAAATCCCTTATAGCTATCACAGCATTCAAATTACTTGTAATTAAAAGGGTAAATGCTAAAATAAAACAGGCAACAAGACCAAAAGACCAGAAGGTTAAATGAGCACAAGAATAAATCAGTATCTGCTTACATTATCAAACTCAGCTAGCATATGGGAATGTTCACCCATGAACCAGATCTGCAAAAATCACAAGCATGCAATTTAGAACTTTCATAGAAGAAGCAATATTATTGTCCCTTTATCAGAAAAATAACCAAAGAGCTAGATCAGCAGTTGTAACTGAAAATATTATCATAAGCAGGTGAAATAATCATTAAATTAAAAAATTAAAAATTAAAAATGCTATCACCATAGAAGAAAGAGTTTGCAGTCCAGATGCTCGAAGACGAAATCCCCTCTCATCTTCCCCAATTTCTTGAGCTAGAAGACACAGTTTGGGAATAAAGTCTTCTAAGTTAAAGATGTAAGTCCCATCCTTCTGAAACACAAAAACAAACAAAAATGAAGCTAGTATCAAAATGAAGCTTTACGTAGAGAATTTTAATGAAAAAAATGTAGCTAGCATCAAAAAAATGGAATGAAAATCTTACTGGTATATATCATAAAGATTTCAAAGAATTCAGGTGATTGGTAAACAAGAAGTACCTAGCAATACAGTACAGATTTATAGAACACACCTGATTATTTACAAACACAAAAAGAGCTTGGCATCCTATGACTCGCAATTCATCCTGTCCTGTTTGATCCAGCAAAATGTGCATGATGCTTAGCAAACTGCTCGCAAACAAAGGCCTGGAAAGTATGAAAGGAAAAGGAACACTGAGGGTAGGAATAGTAAAAATAACCTTAATCAACACGACATCCATCTTTTACATGTTTCTTTTAGATAAAATCACAACATATTCTTCTATTCAGCCTATACTAGTGAAAAATAGTTATTTTCCTCGATTCTCAATGTGAAGTTGAATAATGAAATTTAATTAAACATGAGAAAATAAATTGTATGCCAAAAATAGGATGATACGCATCCCTGCTTTGAATCATAAGAAGAGGCTCATGATGAGGTATCAAAAAAATTTCACAGTTTACTTAAATTTTTGAAAAAACCTACTACAATCATATTCTTGTGTAAACACCCAATTTGCCTATATGACATGATCACCAACTGGCAATTGTCCTTAGTGCCAGTCGAGAGAAAGAGACAGAGGGAGAGAGATACAGAATTACAGACTTCAGTAAAATACCAAGTATTCAAATTCTCATTAACCGTTAGTAGATACATCAAGCATTAGAATTCCTTGTAGTGCAATTGACATACAAACCAAAGCAATTAGACAACTTACATTTGATCTTTACAAGTCACCAATAATCTTCGGTAAATACACATGACAGTTTTCACAGCATTGAAATTCTGGTTTCGCAATTCCTTGTAACACCGCTGCTCAAGATTATTGGTGATCTGACCAACAGAATGCAGACTACAGTGAAACATCAACAAAACAGTGCAATTCTTCACTGACACAAGACATCAGCTATAATAATAGATTAAAGGGATGAAAAAGTGGTTAAAGATGTCAAACCATGGTATTCAACAAGGCTAAAATGATATGTGAAGTAGTTTATTACAGAAATGAGGAGACTTAAGCGAACATAATTCTTTCACAGAAGCTCAAATGATTGAGAAGATCTTCTCAGGCTCTCAACATAGCGAAAAGAAAAAACTAGGTCACAAAGAGGACCACATGTCTCCATCATATATAATCATAAGTGTCAAAAACTAATGCTATGTCAAGTCAAATCAAACCCTCAGTCAACTTGATTAAGGCATCAGGGAGTTTTTTTTTTCAAGAGTGGGGGAGGGGGATCTGCTAATAGAACAGACAAAGAAACTATAAATCAAAGCTCCTCCACCTAACCACCATGTTGGCTGTATTTAATTAGCAAACTATCTTGATGAAGACTTTACAGAGTACTGATAAGCTAAATTGTATAGGTCTCAGAATAGGTTGGCTACCCGCATTACTATATTTAACTGTTGTTGAACATGGCCACACTAGACAACTAGAATACTAAAAGTAGCAAAAAGCATGGCCTTTCAAGCACAACCCAGGTGCACATAGGAGGGGAAGGGGGGAAGAGAAATTTTCCTGAAAGTACCTTTGGGACACGCAGGGGATTTTTTGCAGCATAATCACAGAGTTTTCCAATCATCCGATCATTTGGTTCTTCATCCTGTCAAAAGAAGTATGGTTAGCAGTCAAAGTACTAGAGAAAGATTTAGAAGAGCAGAAAGCACATTCAAAAGTTTCTATTATCAGATAAACAAAAGACAGAAATGATAACACTACGAGGATGGAGCACATAGTTGAACAGTTCAAAAGAATTGCAAGTGCATGAAAGAAACAAGTAGCCGTGGTCACGATAAAAACCTGTTCAAAGATAGCATCAAGAATATCATTTGACCAAAAAAGATCAAAGCATGACCGTGCAAATTAAAGTCATCTAGGTTGTATACCAATTCTCTAAATGAGAGATAAGAATTGTGAGTGTGTAGTGGAAGAAAAGATGCATGTAAGATTGAGAAAAATAGATAGAAATAGTAATAAGGCAAGATAAGTTATGAATATAGGACACAATTTAAAATGGGAAAAATATTTCAAAACCTCACGAATGACAAGCCCTTGAAAATCCACTATATGTAAAAATAGAAGAGTACCAAAACTCTATAGTATTAGGGGTGAGTAATAAACTTCCAGCTCTCACTATTAAAAGAACAAACTCACTAAGGTGTTGTACAAACTCTACAAAGAGAATTCTGAATTGAGAGATTGTGTATAAGGAGCACTCGAGGAATGTGCTTTGAGGATTGTAGGAATGTGCTTTGAGGATTGTAGCCTAGGAGTTATGGATTATATAGGCGGGGATTGCCTCCCCTATGTTGCCCAATATCTCAAAAATTACCTTCCTGGATTCCAAGATGTATTTGGGATAGCTCGAAAATTCAAGATGCATTTGGGATAACTTCTTACACCCTAAGTTCTATCGAATGGCGGTCATCAATACTATCAACATGATCAGTACAATTTCATGCAAGCTGAGATGAGCTCATTGCATGAACTCGTACCTAAGACATTGTTGGATTTCCAAAACAAAAGACTGACAAGCTAAAGAAAGTGATACCAAATCTTCAACATACAATGATGAATATTCTTTTAAACAACAAATAAAATAAGAAATTGATTCAACCTACTAATAATTAAAGTACTCATATTTCCAACTCATACCACCAAGATGAACATAACAATTTCAGTACAACTTACGCAATAACTCAATTTCATAACAATAAGTACATCTACTGAATTGAAATCAAAGGCCACAGAAAAAACAAAAGCTTAAACAATCATATAATGCCATAAGCTAACCTGGGTTTTGGGAAAAATATCGGCAATGAATTTCTTGTACCTCTTCACAGGCTGCCTCGACCTTGTCCGAAGACCGGGGCAGAAAAAACAAAGACTTCCACATGCTGGCAAAACTTGCCTTGATATTACTCCAGATACAACACTCATTTTTTTATTTTATATTTTTCCAAAATTCAACTATATTTACAGTGTATAACCTTCAACGAAGGTAATTTGATTAAGAAAACCCAAAATACAAATTCAAAAGATTGTATATTTCTTTCTATCTCTTTGTATAATCAATCAAGAATCATCCGAAATTTCCCAGAAAAAATTGCATAAAACCCCCAGAAATCAAATTGGGTAGCTCTTTCTCTCCGGAACCAGCCTACATTCAACAGAATTATGAATCATATCATTAAAATCACAACAATAATCAATTCCATCATCAAGGTCATATTGAATTTCATCAATAATTGTCACCAACCATCCAAAATTGCATTAAATTGAAAAACATCTTTATAACCAACAATTCTAACAAAATTGGGTCAGAAATGCATTAAATTAATAAATTCTTATGTGGGTCAATATAATTTAGGGTCCAAAAAAATTGAAAAATTCTCAAAATTGCATTAAATAAAGGATTTCTCATATGGGTCAATATCATTTCTAGCTCAAAAAATATGGAAAAAAAATTCCCAAAAAATTGCAAAAAAAATTGAAATTAATCAAAAACAAATAAATAAATTTACCTCTGGATCGTTGCTTGAAGAAGCAGAGAACCGAGGCTGGAAAAACCGTCAAGAGTATTCAAATTTACAGCAAATTACAGGCATTCCTCACCTGCGGAATTTATGATCTCCCTCTCACCATTTTTCCTCTTTCTTTTTTTTATATAAAATTAAATGAATAAAATCAATTAAATTAAATTAAATTAAATTAATTAAATTATGCCTAAATTATAAAATTTTAGAAAAAAATAAAAAGAATAGAAACTTCCTAATTCTTCATTCTCTTTGTTGATATGAAGGCGATCAGAATTTTTCCAACGGTTAGTCTTTTGTACAGGAAAATTTTGGATTAATTTTTACAAAAAATGCCATTTTTATTTTCAACTGTTGGATTGTATTTTTGTTGTTGTATTTAGATTTTTTTTTAATGGAAAAGTGGGGTCTTGTTTTTGCAAGGTGGCTAATGTCAATTTAACGACTCCTAATATTGTCGTTTTCATACTCTGGTCAACGTTTCACAATTTTTTTTTTACCTTCTTTTTTTTTCATTTTTTATCTTTCATTGACGCATGCCGCATAGTGAGTCAGCTTACTAGCATTTTTATCGATTAGGATTATTCTTGTTAATCATTCCTATTAAAATGGGTAACGTACGATGTCTTTTTAATTCGCTCCTTGAAAGAATTTGAACGTAAAGCCTTGTGATATACAGAATTATAGCCACAACTTGTCTCATACACATCATTTACATAATTGTATTTTATATCCAATAAAAATGTGATTAAAACTAACCATGAATACGTACACTTGTATAACTTTGCAAAAACTACATCATAAAATTACTCACAAAATATTGAACGAAGTCCCTTTTTTAATATAAATATTGACGATCAATATTTTCCGAATTTCGGATTACGAAGCCTCAATATTACTTTTTCATATATTGCTATTTTTTATATATTTGTGACAATTAGCAACCAAAAGACTTGACTAGTAAAACATTCATTTTCTCTCTCTAAGTTGAGAGCATCTCTCACTAAAATAGTGAGTTCTTCCTAGTTCAGCTAGGGTTTCATTCTCCAAAGTTGAGAATCTGCTTGCTCCTTATCTCTTTTTCCCTAAATCTTCTTCCAGGGTAGACTATAGAATTAGGCATTAAATTTGCTCAGCTCTTGTTCATGCTGCCACATCTCTTAAGAACACAAGTTTAAACTCAAGTTACCTCCTCTGATTATTCTTTCTCTCTGTCTTCTTCTATTAACTCTCTTACATTATTCCTTTCTCTTTCATTTTGTTGTTTTGTTCTTATTATGGATAACGATAGAAACTCACCTAATGCTCATAATAAGCAAGATAACCTTGATCTAAGAGGGGGACCCCTTATCCCTCGATCTGGATAATAGCGCAATAAACTTCAATTCTTGCGTGATAGGGATTTTTGTTGGACCATACCCTCTTCCTGAGGAATTGGTACAATATATAGTGTTTGGGTCCAATTTAGTCAAAATTGGGCCTGAGCACTAAATGATCCAATTAAAAGCCCAAGGTCAAGGTTCAACTCTCCAATTGCTCAAAAGTCAAAAGTCAGCCCACAAAGTAAGCCAATTGGGCTAAAGCCCAACCTCTCCAAATATGATGAGGTATAAAAGCCCTCATATTAACACATTCAAGGAGAGAGTCATATTCTTACATAAGACATCTCATAACATCACATACACTATCAGACACAACAACACATGCATCATCACATACATTATCTCATACACGGATTATTCCAACTCATATGCTCATTCTTGCATTGAGAAATACTCCACAAAAGCCTCAAGCTACAAACTCTCTTGCATAGTGTCTTCCTTTTTACACATTGTACTGACTTTAGCATCGGAGGGGCCTTCCTCGGAAACACCCCCGAGGCTAGTTTACGTGTGTTAACTGTGCAGGAAACCTTCGGCCCAACACAGCTTGGATCGAATCCAGTCTTCTCCATTTTAGTGGACCTTCGGCAAGGTCCCATTGTTTTCAACCGAAACAATTTGGCGCCGTCTGTGGGGAAGACTTTCAAAAATCTTTAAGCCAAATTCCTAACCAAGATCATCTTGCAATTATCTTAGCAGCCATGGCTAAGAACCGCAAGAGCAAAAGCCTCCGTCAAGGAGCGGGCGAAAAGCCTAAAACCCCTACACCATCGCCCTCGCCGGACCGGAACTCTCCCAAGGGTGCCGGCTCGGGGGGAGGATCACACAAGGAGGATTCCCTATCTCCTATAATGCATGACTCTCAATATAGGCCGGACCACTCTCGGTCTAGCAGGGGTCAGTCTGATCATAGGACATATTCAGTGTCCCGAAGCCAACCATCGGCTGCACGGCCTCATGCCCACACTCGGCCGGAGACCCCTTTGACGGGGCCCAGTTCGGAAGAGGTGGCAAGAGCGCTGGCAGTACTCATGGAGGCAATGAGGGCACAGAATATGCCACCGCCTCGTGATCGAACTCCTCCGCATACCCGGCATCAGCGGAGGAAGTTAGACCATGACGGTGGGAAGCTTCCTTCCTTCCGGGAACTGGAAGAGTGGGAGGAGGATTCTTGGAAAAATGAAAAACAGAGGAAGAAGAACTCTCAATTATTTAAAGGATCCTCATCCTCAAGACCAGCAGCGCATAAGAGCAGCAGCTCAGCTTCTCGGCCAGAATCTGCTCGCCGGGAACCTGAGACTGCTCGCAGAAGCGTCCTTGACCGACTCGGCGGCCAGGAACCGAGCGTGCGTAGTCGCCTCACGTTCCCTGCAGCCGAGGCCCAGACTTCCCAGCCAGGGACGAAAACCACTCCTACCTCTCTGAGAGGGCGGAGCGCGGTCCCTTCGGCCAGGAACAAGGGCAAGGCCATTATGCTTCCCGCTAGTTCACCATTCGAGCAATGGATACTAGAAGAGCGCGTACCCACGGTTAAAATACCGTCGCATATCACATATGACGGGACCACGGATCCGAAGGACCACGTGGCCTCGTATGAGACTCATATGCATCTTTGCCCCAGATCCGAGGCGACTTGGTGCAAATATTTCCCAACCACTCTCAAGGGGGTCGCGCAAGCGTGGATCTCCAAGGGAGTAAGGCAAGGCTCCATAACAGGTTGGGATGATCTGTCCTCCAAGTTCAGGAGCAAGTTTTCCACGGCAAACCGCCGAGAGAAGACTACCGCAGAGCTCATGGGTCTGCAACAGGGGGAAACTGAAAGCCTCCGAGACTACCTGACCCGTTTCAGTAACGAGTCATCAAGCGTCTCTCAGCTGGACCAGGGGCTAGCTGTTTTTGCAATGCAGAATGGCCTTCAGCCAGGAAAATTCCTAGACTTCATGGTCATGCATACCCCGCAGACCTTGGAGGAAGCTCTTAGTGCATCGGATAAGTTCATCCGAGCCGAAGAATGGAATAAAGCAAAAACCCAACCTCAATCCGGGGGAGGGAAACAGAGGCAAATACCCTTGTCTGAAGGCCAAGGCCATAAGGCAAAGGGAAAATCAAAGGCCTCGGAGCCATCTTCGGCCAGCGACCTAAAGAAGGACAGGTTTGCCTCATACACAGGCAGATACGAGTCCTACACTCCGCTCTCTCTTCCACGCGCCAAAATTTACAGTGTGACGAAGGAGGAGCAGAGTTACCGAAAGCCGAGACCACTCCCAGAGTGGTATCAGCGAAAAAATAAAAATCAGTGGTGTGAGTTCCACGAGTCTTCGGGCCACAACACTGAAGAGTGTATCCAGCTGAAGGACCAGATAGAAGACATGGTCCGGGAGGGATACTTGAAAAAATACATCGCGGATCACCGCGAGAAAAAAGAATCCGAAAGGTTAGCAAAGGACCCTCGGCAGGACCTTGATTTCCCTCGGAAAAACAGTAAAAAACCGGAGGGGAAATTCCCTCCGATCAATGTTATCTCGGGAGGAATATACTCTCGGAGGGAGCACAAGCGTCACCTTAGAGCTTTGACTCACCAGGTGAACAACGCTGACATTCAATCTCCCCAGTCGCCGGTGCCGAACATGACGTTCACAGCCGCCGACTGCCGGGGGATTACGTTCCCTCACGAGGATCCGTTGGTGATCATCGCCACGGTGGCCAACCACGACGTCAGTAAGGTCCTTGTTGACGGTGGCAGCGGAGCAAACATTCTGTTCCGAAAGGCCTACAACCAAATTAAGCTGAAGCCCAAGCACCTTACGCCGGTACCCTATCCGGTATACGGGTTCAATGGGGCTTCAACTTATCCAGATGGGAAGGTGACACTTCCTGTCACCATCGGTTGCGATGAGGCAGCCCGGAACGTCATGATTGAGTTTTTGGTCATCGACGCTCCTTCAGTGTACAACGTGATTTTGGGGAGACCCATAATTCACGAGATCCAAGGGGTCGTCTCAACTTATCATCAGCTGATGATTTACGTCTCAGACGCCGGCTTCCCCGAAAGGATACAGGGCAACCAGAAGGACGCCCGAAGGTGCAACTACCTCAAGCCATCCAGTAGTCGCCCAGATAACGACAAGGATGAGGAGGAGAAAGAAAAAGAAAGAGAGCCAAGCACAAAAAAGCCGAAAGGCCTAAGTGCTTCGGCCCAAGGATCAGTGCCCAGAGAAAAAGGTCCCGAAAGGGAAAAGGTTGACTCTTCATCTGAGCCGAAAGACTCAGAGAGCCAGCCGAAGAACACAAAGACTGGGACACCTGCTGACATCGGCAGCAGACCAGATTCTGAAGAGTCCAGTCCATCAGCAATGGACATGGACCAACAGACTGAAACAGCAGAGTTGGCCGAAGGAGATGCTGAGAAATGTGTAACAATCGGGATGGACCTTGATCCTAACACCCGTTGTGAACTTATTCAGCTCCTGCGGGATAACAGAGATGTGTTTGCTTTCTCGGCAGCTGATATGCCCGGGATAAGTTCAGACCTCATCTCCCATAACTGAAGGGTCCATGCAAGGCCTCTCAAAATTGGGGATCTTGTCCTTCGGAATGCTGCTGCAGTTCAGAAAGGCCGAATCCATGGGAAGCTCTCAGCTACATGGGAGGGACCTTATGAAATTTATGATGAGCTTCAGCCAGGGACATACCGACTTCGGCAGTTGGATGGAACTGAGTTGAAGAATCACTGGAATGCTGATGTACTGAAAAAATACCATGTGTAAACCCTTCGGGGCAGAACAATCTTTGTAAGTACATTTTGAACTAATGACAGGCCTTGGAGCCGCCATTTATATAAAATTTACAACTGTTTATCCTTTCAAAATTTTCTTTGTTCTATCTACTCTTTGAGGGTTTTTTATTCAGCCTCGTCTGAAGCCTTCGCCTTCGGGTAACTGGGTTTCAGATTGCTGACAAAACCTGTCTTTTTAAAGAACACTGGTCTTTCAGCTGAAGTCAAACTTCAGTAAGACTTGTTCTCCAAAGACATGAGTCCATGGACAATTCTGGGATATTGCCTTAACTGAGCCTTGTATCCCAGAGAGCCATTATCCGAAACATTGCCTTAAGTTGGCCCTGTGTTTCGGGTATCCATTTTTCAAAGATAGCCAGAAAATCAAGGATAACAGCAACAGTTGAAAATTTTTAAATCAGCCTCGTCTGAAACCTTCGCCTTCGGGTAACTGGGTTTCAGATGGCTTACAAAACTCAGTCTTTTTAAAGAACACTGGTCTTTCAGCTGAAGTCAAACTTCAGTAAGACTTGTTCTCC